TTCTCTTGCACCTCGACAACTGCCTTCGGGATCAGATCGAGCCATGCACACCGATCAACGGCTTTCGATTCCCATAGAACGTGATAGACTCACTTTAAACATGTACTGGTAACGAACCTTCGATTTCCCCGCATGCCGCTTGCCCACACTCAGCTGATCGTATAATAGTCGCTTCGGTACTCCCGTCGAATCCACACGCGACACGTGACAGAAGCACCTCAGGTGTCTCTACATAATGTACTACATCATGAACAGTTAACAACACGTCGTCTGTCATTACAGCGAGAACCCGCTGCAACCGTAAGTTACACCAACTATCACTTTCTCAGAGTGAAACTTCGCAGAGCCAGAGGCAATTTCAACTGGAAGCCACGATGTACTCCACCCGGGGTGGCGTTATAGAGCTTTTAAAGAAAAATATTAGTGAATGTTAACAACAAATATGTCAGTGGTATTAAACGGGGTACATATCGAGTAAGTGCGAAGCACGTGTATAATTATTTCGAACGTGCTGCACCATTTGTTGACAGTGGCGCAGTGTCACGCAGGCTCCTGCTTCGGCCACAACCTTCTCCATTAACTGCATCCGCCATTCAGTCTTGCTCAGTACGCCACCCCGATCCCCTCGGAGCAGTTCGGAATATCGCTGCCTCATGGTTTGTTTAACCTTGACCTTAATGATAATCCAAAAAACGTCGATTGGTTTCAGCGAAGAGTACGGTCCCAGTCGCAGAGGTCTTCCTGAGCTGTAAGGCTCCTCTTGGAAGATACGGTCCAGATCAGTGTGATGTGGTGCGTTATCACAATTAAAAAGACAGCTTTCGGCGAAATGCATGACATTGGTATCAAGCAGTGGCCGCAACCTCCACACACATCTTTAATATAACTGCCTTTTAGGACAGAATATCCGAGCCATCCAACCTCAGCCATCGCGCTGATAAGGTGCCGGTCTTGTCCCCTACTCTTCGGCACCGTACAATGCGTACGGGTAACACGTGCCGAACATCCTCTTGTGCGAGGGCAAAACAGATTAAAGTTCGTCTCACCCATCCATACTTCTCGCCGTCCTTCAGCCTCCAAGTTCATCAACTTCAGCACGTACGCCTTCCTTAGCCTCTTGTTTTCCATTGTATTCATGGATTCCGGTATTGCGTGCAATTTCTTCATCGTCATGAACCGAGCATCTAGGTAGCGAACGATTGTGCTGACGCTGACATCCACGTCGAACTCCACTTGCAGTTGTAACCGAAGAGTTCCTAAAGTAATCGTAGGGTCCGATTCTACCCATTCAACAAGGCAATCCAAGTGAATAGCTGACAAAAATCTGCGACGCGACAAGCTTCTATCTCTTGTTGGCTCATTCAACTCTACTGCTCTAATCCAGCTTCTACATGTCTTCGCGTTTATCTGTAACAGAGATGCAACGCTCTTCCAGTCGTTGCCCACTTCACAGGTCTTCGGGAAAACAGCCTTTACATCCGACGGATGACGGGTGTAGGTACCTCTTCGTCGTATCGCGCGTAGTGTGCTCTAAGGGTCTCCTCACCTAGGCGGCCGTAGGGTGCTTGATAGCAGCCGGAATGGTGATTTGTTTACGAACCATGAATCGTCGTTATAGGATACCAACAAAAATGCGAGGTTAGTATTCTCAAAAGTGTGTTTTGCTGATCTGACGAGAGAGAAACTCAAGAAAACTAGGCCACTAACAGCGGTCCGTTTCGAAAGCTGCGAGCAACGTAGCCCACAGGAAAAATTATTTGACTGGCTGTTTTGAACTTATCATCATCAGCACCACCAACAGCAGGACATCAGCCATTTAAACTGATGATTCGCTGGCGTACAACAACGGTGACATAAGACACAAATAATAATCATAGGTGGAGAAGACGGACCTAGCATAAAACCTTAGCGTACTAAGCAAACATTCAAGGCAAAAGCACCTTCAGATTGTCATCAATGTACCGTCACAAGCAGCTGGCTATCGTGAAAAGATAAGGCAGCATCATCGAAACAGCTTTCTTGCGGCTTTCACTGCTCCGCGTTACCGCACAGAAAACACATGAAAAACGCTCTAAGCAAGCCATCCGACTGGGAGACGGCAACAGACGCGCCAATGGTGTTGACTGAGAGCCATGTCCTGTAACGTCCCAAGTTAATCACAAGGCTGGTAACCTAGACTCCAGCCCGGAAGGCGAGACGTGCCAATGGCACCGAGTTTGGTCGTCAACGACTTCAGTTCTCATCGCCAGGTTAATTTTTGCTCACGTAGGACCTTGCGCCACCCTACATCCGGCAAACAAGTCAAGGTCCTCCTCGGTAAGCGCTGACCGGGCATTCGTACGTGCTCAAGCCAAAGCAACTCATTCAGTGCTCTCTGTTATTCTGAGGAACAAGCATGATTGTCACTGCCTACCACTTGCTTATGCATATCGTCGTTGCGGACACGGTGGAGTCACCCGACACCGGCAGTGCTTCGCAAACAGCGATGTCCAACGACTTGAAGGCGTCTGAGCTCTTCAGATCAAAATGGCCATGTCTCACTCCCATACAGTAGGATGACCCTCACTGTGGCTTTGTAAATGCGGCGTTTCAGATGGAGGAAAACCGCTTTCTGTCGCCAAAGATGTCACAGATTCAAAAATACAGTTCTGGCTTTTGCTCTACGTGAAGTGCCTTCAGTTTCTATGCCTCCATCGTTGCTGATGCAGCTATCAAGGTAAGTGAAGTGATCGACTAGCTCGAGTTCCTTGCTACCAGGGGTCAAGCGGACATCAAGTGGCTGATGATCCTGCAACAACACTACACCTTGAAGGTTAGAAGCCCAGGTCAAATGATATGACCAAACTAGAGAGATTATTCAGGGTGAACCGGGCCGCCCTAACATCGTTAAATAGCAAGAAAATATCGTCCGCATAACCAAGATCAACTAATTTTCCACCAGCCAGCATCTCAAGGCTTGCAACGCGAGACTCCACAAGGGACCACTCTGGGATGGAGTTCAAGACGAAGTCTAACAAAACTAGAGTCGTTGAATAGCCATGACGAACGTCACTTGTTGTCGGAAATATATCCGACAGGTAACCGTAGAACTTGAGGCGGCCTGTGGTGTTCGGGTACAAGGCAAGTAAAATACTCACATATGGCAAGTTTTTTTGAACAACGTGAATCGATCTACTGTGTCCAGCGCAATCCTGAACTCGATGAACGTAACTATTGTCGGCCTGCAACACGCTTGGCGACGCTAGAGCACCTGCCGCAAAGTGAATATATGGTCTATCCAGCTCCGTCCTATACGGAAACCTGCCTGCTCTTCCCTTATCCGGGATTCCCGTTCCGTAGTGTGGTGACGAACGAGAACTGATGCCACTAATTTTGTCACCACCGGCGTGGCGCTAATATCCCTGTGGTTAGCCCAACCTGTGTGAATGCTCACGGAAATTCCATCAAGCAACGATGACCCGGCCTTGGAGCTGAGAACGATGCCCGCTCCAGCCTGAACAGTGGTTACTGCATCAGCGTCTCCGGATGCGTGCAATCAATAGCAAAGGTACGAACCGGGCGCAGTTAATTCAATAACCCCATGAGTGTCATTGATCCTAGTTTCGGACACACAACACACATCAATACCCAGTGTGTCCAAGGTGTGTGCGAGTGCAGCCTGTTGACCTATTTATCTTAGAGTGCGAACGTTGGATGTCTCTATGGAAACGGGACAGCGTGGCCTTATAAGGAACTGTTGCTGATAGACATCCGATGTGTGTTGTGGGAAGGTGGCTGCAGATGGTTCGACTCCAGTGACATTACGGCTGCTATCAATTGAGCGTTGAAGTATGGAATCAGGGTTAGTAATGGAGGTCAAGGGGAGAGCAAGAGAAACGTGAAAAGGGAGGGGGGCGACAATAGCAACGTGTTTTCGTTTATCCGCCCTACCTTATACAGCTAATAGGTGACCCTGGTAAACCTGAGCGATGACCGATGCAAGATGTTGTGGAGGAAATCGTAATAGTTACATGTGGACTGATATTGCCAGGAAGCCCAGACTTCGACATGAGAACGATTATGGTCCGCAAGCAGTCATTGGGTCAGAAGCCTGTCTGCTGCGCAGAGGATAGGTGGCAATGATTTGGTTTCACGGAACTAGACGCCATCCCATTTCCAACCTCTAATCTGGTGAACCAGGAGACTGCGTTGTTCTAACCTCTAACCGTTAATCAACCTGACGGCATTAGCTTTCAAGGTGCCCCGCGGCACTACTCAGTATAGTGCATGAGTCCAAGTGGTACACAGACCTTCGCCCCAGATTAAGGTCGAGTCTCGAGACGATGGACTCATTGCTTTTTATTCTACGGATATGCATACGTGTATGTAGTATGATACTACTACAATTTCAAACTACCACGCGTAGATAAAGTCGCGGCAGCCGAGCTTAGTATGTGCAACCAAGCACGGCAGGTAGCATAATCCTCTGCGGCGTCGAATTTGTGTTAAGGCGTTCGTACTAGCGAACCTCATAATTTGACAAGAAGAATGATTAGACTTGAGTTCTGGAACTTTTGCACACCATACCTTAATTAACACACGGTAAGCTCCATGTCACTATTATGTAACAGCCAGTGTCGAGTGACCAAAAGATGAGTTGCCACGTCGTTCAGATTCCTCCCTCTTACAGTAATTTCAGCACTCAAATTGTACTGTGCTAACATTCAATTTGGCCTGTATGTGTTGATGAGAGCTTACACCACGCCTAGGTGGACTGATCAGTAAAGTCCCAGCATCGTTTGGTCATACCTAATGTTGCCACATGGCTGAGTGTATTTCACTACCTGTTGCAGATCATGCGTCATTATTCATTCCAGTAATTCACATCCTCTGAAATGCCCCGAATGTTCAAGCAGAATATTTGAACACTTACATTTGTTTTGTATGAAGCACTCACATTTTGAGAAATATGACCGCTTAAATTGTTCACCTTTTTTAGACCGTTATAGCCAACAATCCGCATGACAGACCAGGTAGTTACCTCCTTTGATTCAACTCGCCTTTGGATTAATGAAAATGGTACGCTGAAATCACAATCCGACGCAGATGAAGACGTGCAGTATCTGAAATACAGACCCAAGTTCCCCTTACCAGAAGAGCTACGTATTCTTCCAAGAGAAGCAACAATATGCCAATACTGTGGAGTCAGCTATTTGGTGTTGTCAGAGATCAAACATTTAGAGGAGAAGTTGCTGTCGCTTCGTTGTGAGCTGGAAAATATTCATCGTAAACAATCAACGGTGGAAAGACATGACAAACGGATAAGTACAGAAGATTTATCTTCGGAACATCCGTAAGGCAGCAAACATTTTGCGTTGAAGTAAATTTGATGCCGAGTATAGAATTTAAGCGTAAGACAGAAAGATGTTGATGAGTTTATTATTGCATCCCAGATGTCAGGAATCGATTGAGACAGTAACTAACGTTCCTTACTATAATATTCGCGGCGATAACGCGAGCGTTGCTTGTGGGAAAATAGGTTACCCTCACCAAATTATTCCACGCCAACAGCCGTATACTCTCCGCTGTTACGCTTGGATGTCACAATCTGGATTGTATAGGGGAAGCCAATTTACAAAACACTAGCACATTGGGAAGCTGAAATGTTAACCTCAGGCTTCACCTAAAGCACATTATTCACTAGATTTTACGCCGAACAAAATGGCCCAAGTTCAATGAACAAATTGGAGCTAGCCATTTTTGCAAGCTCACCGAGAAATAATGTTAAAACCTCAAGGAGACTAACCAAGAGAATGGAGATTTATGACACGCATGAACGCTGTTATATTGTATCACCAAGGTGGAAGTGTTCTAATCCCTAACGCAGTAAGAGAACGGCTATAGTATTGGTGTATTAATTACCCACTTGTGCATTGAGCAACTACAAGCCACACATACTTGACACGCTGTCATTCGATGGAGCTGGCACAGTCTCCATTGGGATTCGGTCACCATCATTTACCTGTTTACTTCATCAGCAACCAAATCAGTTGTGTAATTGTCGGTGGAAAGATTAATTTTCGGTCCACGACTGCATCTGGGATGCTTCAAGTCCGTAATCACAATATATTCTAATTTGTGCTCGAAATTAAAATGTGGGATTGCCTTGTAGGTATTTTCCGGGATGCAAGTTCTACTAAGCAGCAGGCGGATTCACTTGGGATGCGTGAATGACAGTTTTCCATTGGAACAGATTCCGACCATTGGAAGCAACGAACGATCAAGTAATCGCTACACTTTTATTGTTAAGGCCATAGCTGCAGGGATTGGCTCTCACGCCAAGGAATCTCCACTCGAGTTGGTCAATCGGTGTACTTCGTTACATAGATAAATAAGCATAGGGTGTATCCCTCGACGGTGCGAGGCACAGTTCAAATGATTGGTCTGAGCATTATGTACCACGGGATCGCATGGGACGGACGACATTTTTTGAATTTTTTTCAGAGAAGTTCCTAAACTATTCTGCAGGGCTGATTAATCGGGTGAATCTTTCAAACGGATGGAGAAATTTATGATGATAATAATAATAAATATAAATGAAGGCAAGTGTTTTAGCAAAGTAACTCGGCAAACCGTGCAGTCGTCTCCAGGGGCACTGTTTCCAGGCGGAGTAGTCTCTCGAAAGGTTTCACCAACACTTCCATGTCTCATCTGATCATGTGCTGGTGTGACTTTAAAGCAAGTTTACCGTCACTTGTTTTACTCATCTTGAGGGTTTTTTGATGTGCAAATATACGGACACTCAGGCCATCTAGCCCGTACCGACAGTCGTATATTTTAGTCTATCACTTTATTAATATCCAGTGGGTCTATGGCAATACGCCTTGCATTGGTTCACTTAATAGCTTGCAAGCTGAAACCATTAACCTCAGAAGATCGATCCAGTCATGGCCAATAATGCCATAAAGAAGGATATCGAATATGAGGAGGTAGATAGGTGATTACGGTAATGCTAATAGGAAATGACGTTTCGCTACAGCCAAGAAAGACCGACGAATTTCTCGATTAAATTTGCGATGGGATCGCAGTGATAGATAACTGCTAGAAGTAGTTATATGCAAGGCAGTACTCAGAGAAGTTTTCAGATTCATCCAACGGTTGTATGAATTCGATAGATACAGTAGTTGGTATCGCGGAGCACTGCTAAATGCTATCTGCTCTCGGGATAAAAGAAATATTTAACATTACAGAGCGAATGTAAACAATCGTCAAAGCTAAACAAAAGTTAAAAAAACAGTTTACATCTCGACAGTGTGAGACACGGATTATGTGGTTGATCCGATTAAATTTTTTACATGGATGGGTAATAACGTTTTCTGTTCAAGTTGCCATAAAAAGAAATGTTCAGGGTCGATGCTTCAATGGCTGCCGAGGTGTGTAGGAGTTGGTGTTGACAGATGTCAGGAAGTATGTCGTAGGTTTGTGCTGTTACTTCCAGGTAAGAAAGAGAATTCGTTAGAAATGCGGAAAACGGTTGGTTAATAAATAAATATTATGATGCTCACAGAACAAAAGGATCATTCGTCAGGCCTTATTAACTACGTTTAGATCTATAGGTTTCGTTTTGCATGGCTCAGCATGGCATTTCCCGGTACAGTTGCGCCGCAGGTCAGTAGGTTTTGTTGAGGCCAACAGTTGCGAGGCGTCCGAATGTTAACTAAGCAAGAAATAAGATAAAATGATGGGAGATGTTGTCATGTCTTAGATATCTGTTAGACCGTTCTCATATTCCACCTCTTCCGTGACATTTTGTCTCACACCGACGGTCGAAACACTGTGCTGATTCGTTTGGGGACGTTTAAATTGTAATCAATCTCAGATGTCAATGGAGGGCAGCAAGACATTGGCAAGTTCCTACGGTATTCGCCAAACTGGGCGATTTGCTTATAAAAGTTTCGACACTAGTCGAGATGTCATCATCAGTGCGTGCGTGTGTGCATTTGTGCCAGAAGCTGGCAGAAATCAACTCCGAGTATGGTTGTTGCCAGCGATTTCTGTATTCATTATATGGGCTATAATATACATACATATTATACGCAAGCTGTGGGACAGATATTGTGCCGTCAGAATCATGGCTGAATAGCAAAACAGTATGACTAATAGGAAAAGAGCAACAATAACAAAAGCTTTCTTGTTTAGCTTTCCGCTCAGTTGAAATTTTTTCAGTTTGTTCTTCTTTTAGGGGGAGGAAGAGGGGACACCGCAACACACCGATTCACACGTCCGCTACTGACATCGATCTTGAGCCATGGCTTCCAAGGTCTTCAAACAGCAAGTATCCGCCTCTCTCGGACCCCAACCAGGTAGTCGACAACAACCGGCCGAGACCAACTGTTTCGTCAACTTTTTCATGCGGCTTCTCCATGTTGTAGGCTGTCCATCGGACCGTCTCTTCCAGCCTTGTTCAGCAACCGCAAACAACGCACGACGCGGGTAACGCTGGACAGGCATGCGCAATACCTGCCCCAACCAGCGCAGTTGATGCAATGAGACGAGCTCTTCGAGCGGGTGGCTTCCACATCCCAAGACGCTGTCTAACTTCCACATTGCTTTCGTCGTGCTGCCACCATACACGGGCAGTGGACTGCAGACAACGGTGCTCGAAGACGGATAGCCTGCGCAAGTCATCTTTACGAGTGGACCAGGTCCCGCATCCGTACAACAGTACAACACGAACGGTTGCACAATAGACCCGCCCTTTGATGGAGAGACGAATGTCGCGGTGACGCCACAAGTGCCTCAGCCTAAAAAAAGCAAAGCATACTCCTGAGATGCGCATCGAAATCTCGTCTCCAACAGCCCCGCCAGCAGTGATGCAACTTCCCAAGTAGACAATGCTCTCCACAACCTCTAGCGTCTCACCACCAAAAGTGAGTGCAGGCAGAGGCACCTGCCAGTCTTGGAAGAGAGCCTTGTATAGGGATGGCGGAAACTACATACCATACTTTGATGCTTCCATCGCTAAGCGGTTTAGTGCAAGTTGGACGACGTGTGGATAGTCACCAAGCAAGACGACATCATCAGCATAATACAAAGCAACAACTCGACTACCTGGGAGGAGCTCAACGCCAGCGTTCAACGAATCGCTCAGAGCGTTCTTCAGGACATCATCAACGGCAAAGTTGAATAGGAACGGAGAGATAGGGCATCCTTGTCGAACTCCACTGGAAACCACAAAGATAGGCGAAAGCTTCCCGGAGGTCAGACTATGGAGAGCGCACAGTATGGAGACGAACTTCTCGGGGACATCATTTCTCCGTAGGCAGTGCCAAAGTACCGTACGATCAACAGAATCGAAGGCTGCGCGGATATTCAGGGACACAGAAAGCATTGGTCTCTGATACACATGGCGGAGCTCGAGGATCTAGCGGAGTTTGAAGATTCGATCGACGCAGCCGCGACCAGGGCGAAACCCAGCTTGTTCTTCTCGTTGCAACGATTCGCGCGTTTGGGATAGCCTGCGAAGTATGATGGACACCAGCAGCTTGCAAACGACGGGGACGAAGCTTGTGCCTCTGTAGTTGGAGCAGATTGTGCGCAGGCCCTTTTTGAAGATGGGAACGACTATCGATTCACCCCAAGATGATGGAACTCTCTCTTACGACCAAATTTTCGAGCACAAAGTGGTGAGTTCTCGAACCAGCGATGCGCCACCATCTTTAAATAGAGCCGGAAGAAGACCATCAGGTCCGGGGGCTTCATAACGCTTCATGTGCCGGAGCTCCTGCTCGAGTTTCTGCTATGAGGGAGGATGTGTGAGGGTAGACCACCCGGCTCTAGCGCGAGCGCTAGAGGTAGCAGATGGAGCTGGGGGTCAACAAATCTGCGAGCCAAAATGTTCGGCCCATCGATGCAACCGTCGTTGAAGATTGGTGATTAAGGTGCCATCCTCTTCGCATATTGTTTCACTTATACCAGATCGAACACTTTCGGTGACTCGAATGAGATGGAAAAGTTTTCTAGTATTACCAGAGAGACTAGCAAGCTCCATCTCCCTAGCACGTTCACACCACCAAGCTTCGCGCTCCATTTGCAGACTCCTGCGCAACTCTCGACCAAGTTATTGGCGTTCTTCACTGTGTCTGGATTCCGACGGGACCAATCAGCGTTTGTCCATCAGCGACAAGGAGTCGGCGGAAATCCACTGCTTTGGTGGGTGACGAACAAATCCACAAGTATCGATACTGGCGGAAACTAAGGTATCTTTGATATGCGCCCACTGCGAATCGAGATCACCGTCAATAGTTGAGCCAATCAAAGTTGACGGTGACGCTTGGTACCTGGTTAAAATCGCAGG